CGTTTTCCTCGGTATTTACGGTACGTTCGTCGTGTCATACCACTTCTTCTTGCCTCAAAATCCACAACTGGGCTTCGGATTGGGGTGGGGGGGAGGGATGGGGGGGGTAGGGGGGGTGGGGGGAATGATGACGACAATGTTGCACAGACACACCGAACAACATCTCCAGAAGAGCCGATTTGCTCGGTATTTCGAGTACTTTCGTGATGTCGGATCTTTTTATATATTCACCAAACCTACTTCTGCACTTTGCGAACTCGACTTTGGGATTTCGGGGGCTTCCGGCAAAAACTCGAAATTGGGTGGGGGGAAGCTTTTTCGGGGGATGATCACGACACTGTTTCGCGGACACCCCGAACAATATCTCCACACCTAGCGTCTTGGCGGCACCTCCGTTTTGCACGGCATTTACAGCGTTCTCGTACTGTCCGACCGCCTGTGCTTTAGCAGTTTCTTTCCCGTGGAGTTTGCAACTCCAACTGCTGTCGCAGCGCAGTTTTGGGGCCTGAGCCTCTGCAACTTCTCCGACTGTGACAGTTAAGGCAGCGAGTCTTTGCAACTTCTGCAGCAGTCACAGATAGGGAGCCTGAGCCCCTGCATCTGCTGCAGCTGCCGCAGTTAGGGAGCCTAGAAGCTGCCACTGCCCAGCCCGAATGGCGCCAGTGGTTGGTGGAGGGGGGGTGGCTAGTAGTAGTAGTAGTAGTAGTAGTAGTAGTAGCAGCAGCAGCAGCAAGAGTAGTAGCAATAGTAGTACCAGTAGTACGTAGCAGCAGTAGCAGTAGGAGAAGAAGGAGGCGGAGGAGGAGGAGGAGCAGGAGCAGGAGTACCGGCAGTCGGAGGATAGGTCAATGTAGACCCGTAGCAGCGTCCGGTGCCAACGCATCCTATTTCGGGAGCACTGTCGCCTGCTCATGCAGGACCGTCCATAGCGGATGTGTCCAGTCGAGGTAATTAGTCGTAGTCGTGGTCGGTTCGTTGCGCGAAGCAATTCTGAGAGCTTTAGACAAGAGGCGGAGATATGCAGGACCAGGACACTGTCAACACCGCCTGGAGCATCCTTGGCATCTTCAGTGTCTCGTCCCAGTGACTGTCGGCAATGTCGAAGTTTTCCGCATTAAACAGCAACAGCCTGGGTGCAACACCCTCTGAGGTACTTGCATGTTCTTCGTGCTGACTCTTGGCGAAAAGTAGTCTCCATGTCTGAGTTTCCTTCTTGCATCTATGTGCCAACCTCACTCGCCTGGCAGCCTGCTTTGCCCAGGAACTTCAGAAGTACGATTGCCTACAACAGGCTTGCTGACATGCGCAACAGTGTAGCCTGTGCAATTAGAGGTCAGATGCAATGCAGGTGGTGGGAAGGCGGCACTCTGCTACAGCAGACCCGCGGAGAGTGGTTCAACTGCTTCAGCAGCCTCGTTGCCCCGCGCCTGTTTTGTTGCTGTGAACAGTTGCATCGTTCCTGTGATCTCTTGCAGTGATGGTCTGCGTCGTGTTGCGTCGCCCTGTTGTGCGCTCTGGGTTGACCAGAACGAGGCATTCACTAATCCAGCTCCAGAGCTGGCATGCAAAGTGGAGGAATTCCAACACCTTCTCGCGACTTTTCTGCAACCATTTCTTCTCCAAGCAATGTCCCCCTCTTCCTCAGACCCTGGGCCCGACTGAGCCAGAGACACTAGTTCGGGCTGAACCCCTTTTTGCTGAGGTCCGTCTCATGAGTCTGCTCTTTTGCTGTGCGCTGCAGCAAGTCTCGCCAGACAGGGATAGGCAGCAGAGTTTCGAAACATATGCCGACTCGGAGCATTCGGGATTGCCTGTCATGAGACGGGCAACAGGCAATTCAGCGATATGAGGGAGCCGCTCACAATCTGATTTTGCATGTGACATTGAATGTGCCAGAGTGTTGCGTGGGTTCCTGTGTGTGAGATGGACAGGCCCTTTGAAGTATTGTCGCCTGCTGGCATCGATCCCGCCAGCCTGTCAATGCTTTCGAAGAGCAAGGACAAGGCGACGACATGAGTTGAAATCCTCACGGCCTTCCTGTGCGATAGTCGAATCGATGGATCTATGATAAGACTGAAGTGATCTCGAATGAATTCGAAGTCCACCGCATAGCAGGTGGAAGTAATTTTGCAGTGGCTTCAGCGACTGATCACGCACCGTGGCTGCAGTTGGTCAAGGGGCGACTTGGGCAAGCGTAGTGTGACCAAGTAGCGAGGGCACGAACTATGAAGGAGCGGAACAGATGACGAGTGGGACTTCCGTTAGGTCAAGGGTCGGATGGCAGTGGTTGACGAAAGAGCGGGACAGGCGATTGGCTAGGAGTGCTCAAGAACCCGCAGCTCGCTTGCTGAGCTTTGGTGCAGCCTGATAGACGGATTGAGGGTTCAGCCAACAGCTTGGGAGTGGGTCGGATTGGGCCTGCGTTTCAAAGCTGCGTCAGAGGGAACAGTCAGTGTAGCAGCATCGTGAGTCAAGAAGGTGACTCTTTTCGAGGGTTGCAGATGGGTATAGCAGTTCAGGCACACAGGAACCTCGAGCCCGTTTCTTTGAATTACAAAGTAAGGAGCATCACGAAGCAGTCACAGATCCGACGTAAAAAATTCATGAACCCGTGTCGTTGCCACGTTGACCGATGCCCAGTCGTCAAGAGAGCTGCAGGGTTCCTAAGGACGAGAACTGCAGAACCCAATCTCCCGAGAACCGCTCTGTGCTTGAAGTTGATCCGGGCCCCAGGCTGAGCATGCAGGACAGCATCATTGTGGTCGCACCGCCGGTGGTTACCCGTGCGTACCAAGAGCTGTCCCGCGGCATTGTGAATTTACAAAATGCGAGCCACTCGGCTGCCTCGGAGTGACGCATCAACTTGACGCTGTAACCTGGCTGTGCAGACTGGCTGCCATGCCCCTACTGCATGACAACCTGTGTGTGCAGCTCAGGAAAAATTGCGGAGTTTCCATTCCCGTTCCCTCTCGCACAAGTGAGCACCCGTGTTGCATTCCAGATATATGCGGTTTCTTCCATCCGTTCTCATGCACTGTCTCGCCGCCTGGCAGTTCTTCCGGTCCTATCTCTTCGTGGAAATCAGCCCAAGGTATGGCCATGCTATGCCTGCACTGGGCCCTTGTTCCCGCCGCTTGTTGAAGCACTGACGGCACAGCAATGGCAACTATCCGAAGTTGGTGACAAGGGGGGCGTGGATGTTGCAAGGTCAGAGTCCTTGTGAGAAATTGTGAGAAGCTTGTTGAGCGCAGTCCATTTGCAGGTCCTTTGCAGCATGCTTCTCGGAAGAGTTCTTGCAGCTTGCGTCTCCTTCGTTGTCATTTGCTTTCTGTACCTTGCCGGCATGCACTTTGGAAGCAAGTTCTAAAGTAGTGGCAGTCGCTACCCCAATGGAGCTCAGGTGGGCACAGAATTTCATTGCGCTGCAGCTCGAATCACCTTTCGGCTGCGAGCCCAATGATTTGCCCATGCATCAGATGCAAGGCGACTGGAAGCTCGGATGCTGACAGCCGGTGTCTGCTGCGGTAGTCGAATTCCGTGGGGGATTACATGTGGCCACAGCTGAGGAACACGAGTCTACGCGCTCTGTGCCGGTCTTACCAGTGTCCGACAATGGAATCCTTTGTATCCTTGCAATGGCTATGGGTCGTGTGGATGCATTGACCAAGCACGCTTGCAGTTGCCGTAGCATCAGTAGTTACCCAAATCGGTTGTTCTGTACAGTCACGCAGGCAGGACTGTTTTAACAGCCTTCCCGCAACACGTCGTAACGAAGTGAGTGCAGGGTCTCGGGACGGATTCCCACCAGTGCATGATGTGAGTCCAGAGAGTTCTGGGTTTCCTGTCGAAACCCGTGAAAGGATGAATCCTGTCGCCCAGCGACCTCCGTCGTTGCCTGGCAGCAAAGGTAGTCTCATGCGCGGAGCAGCGAAACCACCTCCTGCGCAAGTCCTGGACACAACTGGCCAGTTGCTCTAGTGAAGATTCTCACAGCAGTAGCAAAACAGATGCGAATAAAGGATCACGGAGGAGAAGACGCTTGAGTAGTCTGCAGCCTAAAGCAGCGAGATACGGTAGGTCAGGTGCAAAGCATGTTGATGTCGAGGGCAGCACATTGACTGTGAAAGCAAGAGGTCCGGTATAGTAGACTCAACTGCGTTGCAGGTTCTGTTTTGACCCGGACTTGCACTATCAGTTCTCTGTGGTCATGTCGAACAGCGCCATCCCGAACAAAAGGAGGGCGACGCTACTTGTCCGGCAAGAGCGGCAACTCCAGTGATTGTGCAAGTCGGACTCCAAACGCTCGACATGTACTAGGCCCTGCCAAGTGAGGTCCTACGACTGACAAAAATCGCTGTGCGGAGCACAGCCGCTTTATCTTTGTTACTTTGTTATTGCAGTCAGCGGTCTGAACTAACGAAAGGTTTCAGGCCCCCTAGCGCAGAGAGTCGGCAGCGTTGGCTGCAAATTGATTTGTCAACTCTTGGTGGAGCTCCGAGGACTGATGAAAGGCTCTGAAGCCATCGATGTTGACATATCCCCCTAAAGTGCGGCTGGTAGTTACAAATCCTAAGAGGAATGATCAAAGACGGAAGAAGAATGCATGGAGGTAAGACGAAACCCAGCCACCGGCAGCAGCAGCAGCAGCAGCCCCGACACAAACGATCATCAGCTGAATGTATCGTGTGTATCTTATTTTTTCAACTTTGAATACCACGGGTAGTGGTCGTGGTCGTCGTCGTCGTCGTCGTCGTCGTAGTTGTATCAATAGTAGTACCGGCAGCAGCGGCGCACGGCATATATCAGAAAGGATCATTTCATGTCATAGTCATGGTAGGGTTACATGACCTTGCGAGCTGTGATGGCAACGATGCGGGTAGTGATCACCAGAATCACCAGTAGCCGCAACCATGATTGAACACGGGAATACGCATCACTTTACCATGTCAGCAGTACAGTGTAACCTATCAAAATGATAATACTGAACCATGAAGCAGGAGCAGGACCGGTGATGTTTCGAAACGTTATTATGATGATAACATGATAACCATAGCGATGCAGTCCAGCCTTCTCCGCCTTCAGCCGCGAAGTTGTCGCTGCAGTGCTGTCCTCAACTGGATCACTGTGGCCATGGCAGCACTTTAATCACGCAGAATCTGCCGGCGGGCGGTGCCACGCTCCTTGTCAGCTAGAACCCAGTCTCATGCAGGTGGATCCATTGCTAGTGGCAGCTGGCTCAGCCTATGCACGGTTTTACAACCCGGAAATGGCCGAAGGCATTGATTAATTCGATTGCGGCAGGGAAGCGCCGAGAACCTCAGGGTTCGGCAGTCCGTCCAGCCTCGGGCAAAAGAGGTTTCGCCGTTTCAGTTTCTCTGGCTCTTGCTTGTGCGATTGCTCCTGCTCCCGCAGCTGCACTACTGCCTAGTGTTCTTATTACTAATTACTCCTCCGCCGCCTCCTCCTACCACGAATACTACCACGTCGACGACGACGACGACGACTACTACTACTACTACTCCTACTACCACTACCACTACTACTTCTACTACTACTACTACTACTACTACTCCTGTTGCTGCTGCTGCTGCTGCTACTACTACTACTACTACTACTACTACGACGACGACGACGGAGGCCGACTACTGCAAGAATTTGCCGCTTTGTACCGCTGCTGGTTGCTGCTTGCTGCAGCTCCTGCCACTGCTGCTGGTGGTGCTACGCTTGGTCGGCGATTTTCAGGGGCAATACTACTGGTCACATGGTCATGTCTGCTAGTACGATGTTTGGGGAGAGAAGAAGACAAATCAGTGCCAACGATTTCTCGAAGCATTTCGTTTCACACAAGTTATCCTCGCCTCATTCAAACACTGCTCAGCCCACGCAGACCTCTCGCAGACACTGCCTGCTTCCTCCGTGTCTGAAAGTCCTACTCCTGCGACACTATCTAGGCATACGTTGTGGTTGTTACATTGTGCCAGGGGTTGCCCGGATTCATTAATGTACTCTGTTTGCGTTTCCACGTGGATTTCCTGCTCTGTGTTTGGACATTGCTTATCGGAAAATGTTGAGACGCGTCTAGTGCACCTTCAATCCAAGCCTGCCTAGATACCGAAGCGAGCATGTCTTTCGTAATTCTAAGCAGCTAATGAGGGAGAATGAGAAACATCAGAGAGAATCATCCCAAGTAGCTTGCTCTACCCTTGTGTGCCACGCGTGTGTTCTTGTTGTATGTCTTGCAGCACAGCAGTCTTGCGCAGCTCTTAATCTAAGCGGATGGACTTAGGAGCTGTCAAAGTTCTTGGCCCATTGGTCGGAGAAGGGTGAGAAACCGATCCAGGACTGCCGGGCTCCGGGGGCCTCTCAGGGTCAAAGGTGGGTCTAGTCTGACAGGCGGGGCCACTCGTCTTCGCAGCTGCATAGCTTTGACAAGCGGGTTCGTGCAGGATGATGACAAGATTCTGCGGCCCAAGGTGGAGGCTCATGCTGGTCGTTGCGGAACGGGTAGTCAAGCGGTAGCCGGCCAATATCAAGGGCTTCTGTTGAGTCCGCTGCTCTGGCATCGGTCCCAACACCCAAGCTTGCGCGCTTCTTTGTCGAGGTCCTCCCGCCACCGCTTCCCTCACTTTCCTCACCTCCGGCTCAGCTCGTTGCCCCGCCGACTCCGGCGACGTCGGCGGCTCAGATCGCCACCCAGAACCGAGGAATGCGCCTGATTGAGAACGAGTGTCAGAATCCGTGGCTGGCAGCTGGTGCAAGGCATGTTCGGGATGTTCGGGGATCCATAGAGCTTGTCTCGCCTGCGGCTGCCTGCACTTCACAGATCTCCGATGCCAGTGCGAGACCTGTTGGTAGAAAGCCATCGCCCGAGGCTGAACAGCATGAATGAAGCAGAGCCACGCTCTCAGATGCGGGAATTCAGGATGTGGCTGATCCATGTCCAGCCATGTCGTGGCTGCAGTTTAATGCGAAGTGCTAGTGCGAAGAGGTGGAGATTGGTGTGTGCTGTGGATGTACTGATCACTCGCAGGAACTGCATGTGAAGCAGCTGAGCTAGCATGCACGAACCTGCGAAGCATCAAGCCGGCAGCAAAGCCATCAAGATCGCAGACTCTGGTTGAGTGCAGCAGAAGAAGTTCCAACGGTCCTGCACTCCATGATCGACTCCTCCCAAACCCCCTTCCGTGAGCTCTCCGAGGCAGGACATCGCGCGAATGCGGATGAAAGCTCGTGCTCTGGCTGCAGTAGCAGCAGTATCTGATTGTAGCAGCAGCGGAAGTGGCGGCAGCAGCAGCAGCAGCAGCGGCATGAGAGTACAGCTGGCATGAACAGTGGTAGGAATAGTTGGTTGTGTGATGATCGCAACCAGCGATGCTACTTATCTCGTTGATCGCGATGGTCACATTGACAGCACTTGCTACAGGAAGTTCAGCAGAGATCAGCGCAGCCGGATGGCCACTACTTTAGATCTTGCCGAACGTTTCATGAGTCGAAAGAAGATAGGGAGAAGTGGTTTGCATGCGATGCTTTGTCAGGTACATACACTTCTACTGAAGGTCTGGTGCTAAGGAAGGGGCAGCTACCTTTCCGAGTCAGGAGCAAGCTATGACTGAGCGATGCAAGAAGAGGTCTCATGCCGCATGTCCTCAACTCTGCCTTGGCTGAGGAATCTGCGGCCCGCTCGCTGAGGGCTCTGTGACCTTGTTTGGCACTCCAAAGAATACCGCCACGGTGCGGCCGCAGCCTCGGCCGTCTGCTTCTGCTCCCGCCTGCAGAGACAGAGATTAGACAGCGCCAGTCCAGGCCGCCGAAAGGCCGGGGGCTTGGCTCCAGAGCAGCTCTGCTTGACCGGTGGACTTGACCGTAAGTACTTCCCTTACTTCTGCTGGGCCAGGCGGAATCACAGCGCAGCGCACCAGCAGCCTCGATGCAGGGAACCAGGTGGTCAGCCGAGCATGGGGGTGGCAGATACCAGCGGTTCTAGCTGCACTCTTTGGCGCTAAACGGACATGCAGTTGAGATATGTCGTAGGTCAGGAAAAGTCCGAACAGCTTGTGGCTTCGGCCAAATGGCTTTGCAAAGGCCGTGTTTTTTTTTCAATGGTCTATTCTTCGGCGGTACTAGAAGGATTGAAGCAGCGGAAGCTTCAGTCCCGAGCAGCATGCACGCGGGCTTCCAAGTAACAATCGATTCCGCTAGATTGCTAGATGGTACTAGATCATGTCAGTCATCGTAGTCAGGACTGGAAGGAGGCCTGAAGCTGGAACATAGATCCTACATCCTGAATGCACTATCGCAAGCTGCGCCGGAAGTGTCAAGCATCGCTGAGGAGAAGAGCGATGAATCAAAGCAAAATCCAGGCATCCGGTGGAAGTCTTCGCAGGAATATACAGGCTACTGCAGGCTACATCTTTGATAGCTTTTGCTTGCATGGGGAGCTGTGCTTGCCGCGTGTTTTACTGGATGAGACAGGCTCACCGAAGACCCTGGGCGTGCTGCCACGCGAAGCACATGGTCCAGGCAGCCCTTTCAGCAAGGGTGAATGACGAGTTCCTGCTCTTGCAGTGAAAGGTGAGGAGAAGTCTGAGAAGCGACGTGGTTCCAATCGCGCTTCCAAGAGCATAAGCATGCGCGAGCCACGCAGCATTTTCTTGCCGGATACTCAGTGCAGGCTTGTGGCTTCAGTATGAAGCCGGGACACTTGCAGCACATGCAGACGTTTGCAGAAGATGATGCTCCGAGGCACCAAATAACGAATCGGGCAGGCAGGCTTGCAATGCCAAAGGGGGACATGCCTCGCCGAATCTTGCAGCTGCACCTACTAGGTGTCTACTGGCGATGGGATCAATTAGATCCCTGCATGCGGCCCCGGGTCAGGCGAGGAGGACGAGGAGGATGAGGATATGGACGACCCGGACGAAGCGATCCCATGTGCTAGCCCCTTCAATCTGTACACACACCGGGAGAATCGAGAAGCTTCAGGAGCATCGCTGTGCTAGTCGAGGCAAAAAGGAGTCCTTGTGCACCTGCATCCAGAAGATGTGCCTTTGGCTGGCGGCTGGCCTGAAGATTCGGCATCGGCGACAGCTAGTGCTTGGCACTTCCGTGGCTGAGGTATGCTTGGAGTACTTCGACTATGTCATGGGCATCATCCTCAAAGCTGAAGATTCACGAAGTCATGTCCCGTGTTTGCTGTGAAGAGTCTCGAGCAGCCTCAGGCCTAGCGATTCTCGCGAACGCAGTCCTGTCTTCACCTTAGCATGCCATGTCTGGCGGACCTTCCTAAGCTTTTAGGAATCTGCTGATGGCTCCTGCTTGCCAGCCTAGCCTCGAGCCTCTTCCAAGGATGGGTGTGCAGGCAGACATCGCGGCACGGGGCCTTGCGAAGTCTACCTGCAGATTCAGCGCTTCGTGTGCCTGGATGTTCCAAGGTTCAGAACGCTCGGACAGGCGCGAAAGAGCCGCCGGTCATTCGAGCTGCTCAGAGCCTAGTGCGAAGAGATTGCAAAATTCGAGCTGGCGAGTCAACCCACCCCTGCCAATTGAGAATTTATGAAGCCACACTTAGATCGATGTAGGTTTCATGATGTACATGTCTCGCCTGCTTTCTCAAAGCGCCGTGGAAGCTCATAGTCTCATGTTCGGTGGCACAAGTTCTGAGTTCGGGAGCACGTTCAGACTTCATCAAGCGAGGTCGCCGTTGCCCTGGGAGCGGTGTTCACGGCAGAATTGGTGCCGGACTTTTCTACTTTCCATGTTTGCGAATGCTCGTTGTGGCTGCCATCTCACGCTCCTGGCTGTCTTCGGGCTTTTCGTCACTGGAATCCGCCCTGAAGTAACCAACCAGGAATACCACATGTCCGTCCGGCTCGAACGGAGTGCTTGTTCTGCTAGGAAGGTCTAGATCAAGTCCAACCCTCACATGCAGCGCTGGATTCCAAACATCAGAAGACTTCGACAAACATTTCAAAGATTTTTGTGTATAGTCATCGTTTCTGTCGCCTCCTTGCAAGAACGCGTTACCTAGGTCATCCGCATCCTCGCCTATCGAGTGGACTTCTTCACGAAGCCTGGGCTTGGGCCCTGCCGGATGTGCCTTAATCGGCAGAGCTCCATGCTCTGCGGTTTGGTTTGACTGTCCTCGCTTACCACAGTGCAAAGCTGCAAGACCCCTCTGTTCACCTCTTTGGGGCTGTTTCAAGACACCGGCCATGGACTGGCAACTCAGTCTCCTTGGGAAGCGGCACAAGTCACTCATTGCATGAAGCTGGCATGAGGCAAAAGAGCGAGGTCCACTCCTTGCCTGGAACATGTGGCATGATTCCAAGGTGGCGCTGGAACGTGTTCGACTTCTTACTCGTTTTCCTGCAGCTCAGTCAGCAGCCTAAATCAAAGTCTCGATCAATCGGCCTGGCCGCTGCTCGACGGATCGCCCTGTCCGATGTCCATGGTCTGTTGCTGCAGGTGAAGAAGTCGTCACCGTGCTGGCCTGCCATGCATGTTGCCGACTAAATCGGCGGAGGAACAAATTGATACAGCAGATGTGAAGGGACGAACAGAACCTCCGAAGCCCGGGAGCCGCAGCTTCGAATGCCAGGTCTACGAAAATTCTGACGCCGTGCCTGCAACTTAGGGGTGCAGCAAGACCCAGACAGGTTGTCTGATGCTGAACTGCAAGCTCAGCCACTCCGAGAGACCCGAGAGTCATCTCCCCATTGGCTGAGATCTGTGAATCTCAGCTTCATGCGGATCTTGCGCGTTCTCCGTGCGGACCTCAGGTGCTCCTGCTAGAGTGTTGACTTAGAGTAAGACCTTTGTACACAGTTTGACACAACACATTCGTGTAATCTTTGTTGCAGCTTGTTGCACTGTAGATGTGAGTCAGCTGCACAGCACAGCAAACCGAGGTCTTGTCCGAATTGTTCGACTGGTTTTCCCGGCTTTCCTTTGAGACTTCTTTTGATTTGAGAGGTTGCTGGAGATTCTGCGTATCTGCTTGACAACAGCAGTCGAAGTGCGCCGGGAGTAAAGTTAGGATCCGGAGCGCCGGGTGACAGGTCCGGGTTTTGCGGCTGATCCGCGAACTCAGGAGGGCGGTGAGTCTTCAGGAAGCCTTCGCACTCCAAGTGTCACACGAGCCTTCCAATGCAGGACCCTTGTGCAATCTATCGCCTCAACGCACCTTGGCTGAGAATTTCTCCCTTCCCATCCAGCAGTTGCCAGCTACCCCCTAAGGATGACATCATTGCTGTGGACGGTGGTGCTACTGCTGCTGTTGTCCGAGCCTCAGCCCCTTCACGTCAAAAATCATTCTGGCCTCTGAGCGTCCCTGCCCAGGATCTTCGTGGTGGGTATCTGCTTCACGCAAGTGGTCGCTGATGTCGGTCTGGAAGCGTGCGAAGCTTACGACGTATGTAAGCATGGGATTGCCATATATTGCCGTTTGTCAGAGGCCACAGCTTATCCAAGAGGGCACCGACACTTTCGAGCCGCCGAGCTGGTTATGAGTTACGAGTATCAGGTTGCGGTTAGCAGGGATGACTTGTGAGGTACTATGGTTCGCTCCTGCGATCTGTGCGGACCCAAGCTTTCTAGCATTTGGATCGGCCGGGTATGCCGTGCGCGCAGGTCATGTCGCTATACCAGTCGATCACTAGTGGAGTGGCCTGCTCATTTTATTCTCGAGCTATGGGGTGTGCAATCAGCAAACAGCAATAACCGGTTGCGCACGCTACCTCCTGCAGATTAGTTGGCGAGATGCTTCACAGCCGCTTGTTCACGCCTTAGAGAGCGAGTGCTGCGATGCTATATCAAAAGCTGATGTCGAACCAGCACCTGTTGCATGGCAAGGAGCGGCATCAACCGATCATGGGCTTGGTCTTCGTGTCTTGCCTGCCTTCATGTGCAATTACTACGCTGCTACATCGTACGTCGTAGGAGTCGTAGGCCAGGACCGACCAGGCGCTTGCAGCCAGCAGATGTCATGTCAAGGGACTTCGGCAAAAATGGCTCTGATGTTTTGGATCGAGATCGCGGACCCTTGACTCCTTTGAAAGTTTCTTTTTTGCTCTCCCCTTTCTCTTAGTCCTGTGGCCATGGGTCTCTCCGTCTCCTCATCAATGTCAGAGTCTGCGTTGTCGACGGTCCGAAGATAGTGATTGACAAAGGGAAGATGTCGGTCATGGTTGCAGTTGCCCGGCTTTTGAACCAGTCGGCAGCCGCGCCCGTCCACCATGTAAAATAACGCAAAGGAGCATTGGGGTGAGCGGCTGCAGGATTTTGGGGTCCATGTTCATATTCATACATATCTCGAACGGAACCTCATTTCATGGGCATGCTCCTGTCGCCTGTCTTGACTTCATGCAGCACAGGCAGTTTACATCGCCTTCGCAGCGCTGGCAATGCAGGAAGCTTACTTGTGTCGACGCTCCAGTGCCCGGCCGTGCCGCCTTGATGAAGGATCGCAAATGAGAGCGAGGACTGCAAGAACAGTATAGTACGCGATGGGCACGCATAGACAAGCGAGAACAAGACGCATAACAAGTGAATGTGGGAGGGGGCGGCAGTGGCAGAATTTGACTTGGCTTTTGAAAGAACTGGGCTCCAGCCCACCGTGAACCGTGAACTCGACATGCCAGACTTGCCGTCAGCGCAACCATCATCAGCCCTTAAACGTTACCATCCCGAGGCTCAATGTGATTACCGGGGTCTTTGTCGAGTCAGCTATGGCAAGTGCACGAGACCGGGCCTCGGCTGACGTCGCGTTATTGGTTTTTGGGATACTGAGCCATGGTTATCAAGAATCAGGTATATGTTAGCGTGTTTCGGATCCGTACAAAACATTGCTTACCAACAGCTATCAACATCGCCATCCGCCTTCTGGCATGGTCGAGTAGAATGTATAGTGCACCCACAAGGCAATGACATGCATAGTGATCGATCGGCATGTTCCATAATATATGCTGTCGTCATCTGCTTGTGCATATGGCACGGAAACTGGCACAGAAGGTGTTGCATTATCGTTTGCAGACTTGCAGTGGACTGCATACTTCAAACCTGCAGCCGTGAAAAGACGGGCATTGTCTCACACGACACCGCACTGTGGCTCTTCGTAGCATCGGCTTTGATGCCACACACAGTGTGCACCAGATCTGGCAAAGCATTCCCTAGCGTCGCCATCTGACAAATAGCACTATGGCATACTGCATGCACTTCATGTAATATACGGCCATATACTTTGTACACAAGTCTGTATTGGTTGCAGTAGTACTGTGAAGAGAAGCCTGGGAACTGGATCAAGTGTTGGCTGTTGATCCAGATGCTCACTGAAGGAGGAAAACAACGTTACAGTGGCAGGGTGCTCGGCATGTTGGAGCAACTGCGTGGCTTCTTCACTTTGGATGATTCGGGGCACCCACATCATTCCCGGAGCCCAAGACATCTAGAAGTGCGTTGAGGTTAGCCGCATGCGCGAGCTTGTATCGAAGATGGAGATTGGAGAGCTCCGCACTTGGGTCAGAAATTCTTCGCAGCTTCCAAGCCTTGCAGGGACACTCTCAAAGGTCCGGCCGCATGACCTGGGAGCAGTTCGAGGGCCAGCTGAACAACCCAATCATGGAGGCTTGAGGGCACCCGTTTCATGCCTTCGTTTCTTTTTTTCCTTGGGAACCCCAGGGACCACGATCCGCAATACAAGCGGAACCATCTTCTTGCAAGCTTACCAGCGATCTCGCCCCACCGAGCAGCACGCCCCCTTCGGATTATCGGCCAGACATGGTACGAGGTTATCCGACAGTATGCCCAAGCAGGCTTAAGAAGCTCTCAGAAAGTTGATACATTGAGCACTCCTACTGCACACCCACACGATCGCGAGATCACGCTCACTGCGAGGCATACTTCAAGTCGTTGGACCTGAGCGTTACTGAAGCTGAGAGCAGCTCCCCAAGAAGCATCCGGTGCTCGGCGATGCAGCAGATGCAGCATGCGATAGCTCTGTGGCCATGCATGGCAGACCAGCACAGCATTGCACTGACGTTATGCTGCTTTTCGTGAGCTTCCTGGTCTGGATGCAGCCACAGGGCGCCCGATGAAGGTAGCGAAATCTCTTGCCAGTCAGGGTAGATCTCGATCTCGCTTCAAAGACTCAAGAGCTGACCTGCCTCATCGTTAGATGTCTGAAGGTAACTCGATATAACTCGATGCTAAATCTGCGAGCCATGGCTTGTCCTGGAATTTCGTGAACCCTGGCATCATGTGTGGCCAACTTGGTGATGCTGGAATGGAAAATCCACGACACAACCAAGCGTTGGTTCTGTGGCTACATGGCTTGTGCTTTGGCCAGCATTCCATTGGACCCGGCCAGAGAGGCGGGCGCGCAAAAATCCGACAGCCAAGTCTCGAGGCAATCCAGTGGATGCCATATGAAGAAAATGCTCATCGGGACGAGGACCGAGGAGGGCTCGGGATAGGCTCAAAGAGCTGATCAGTCTGACGAGTCAGGAGCCTTCAGACCCTTTCCTGGGTGAAGTGGAGGTTTCCGGAGTCTGTGCCTCGCCTGCAGCTCACCGGGGGATTTGCACACGTCTCCATCGTACGTACGTGCAAGCTCAGGGGATTGCAGAGTTGTCGATTCTTCCGGGGCAGCGAATGAAAAGCTCCTTGCCAACGACCTTTCAAAGTCTACTTGACTTGAGAACGCCCGAAGATACATCGAAAATGTCACCCTGGTGCACTCCTGCGGTGTGCTCGCGATTCCAGCCAGGCTGGTTCGATCTGCCTGAGCAGCCGGCGGTGGAAGGTCGGCGTCATGCAGGAATGCAAGAGGCTGTGGACCGTGCCCCAACCTGCATGAGGTTCAGCACGAGATGGGCAGGCAAAGATTTGGAGCCTGAAGTATGTAATTTGTGTTGACTTAGGTGTCCATGCGCTGCTCCACAAAGCTCTGGAGCAAGGCCAGAATGGAGTAAGAGATGACAGATGCAGATGATCTCCAACATCGCACCGCTTGCGCTCATTATACCAACTTCAAATTTTGCAGGCTTCGCCGCTGATCGAATCGTACTTTGCGGCTTCAGTCAAGGCCGGGATAGCTTCGTTAAGCCCATCCTGTGATCACTGCCGGACTCTGGCCCAGTCCTCAGGTGGCACGCTGGCTCTGCAGGCAGGGCTTTCGTTCCCACACATGTTGGCCGGGATTTGTGCGGTGGTCCCGCCCTCAGTGGCGAATGCGCCTAACCGATTTAATCTTGGCACTCAGCACAGCACAGAAGGTTGCAGTTTCTTGCACTGCTCTGTTTTGAGCTTGCCGTGCCTCCTACTGCAGGCAAGTTGGGTCACGGCAGATTTGCCTGCCGTGGACGGGAAGAGCGAACTTCCGATTCTCATGTGCCACGGCGACGAAGATATGATGGTTCCCATCGCGGTGGCGCGAAGGAGCTGCAACTCATGCTGCTTTTGGCATGTTCGACCTGGTGACGTTTGTGAATTGCTGTGCTGGTTTTTGAGGGGGTTTGTTTCAATGCGGCACTCTCCATGCTTAGGTAGATCTTTGGCATCCAAAGGCTACAGCAAGGTCAACCTGGTGACTGTCAAAGGATTGCGACACCAACTCATCGCTGCCGAACTGGAAGAGATTATCGAATTCTTGCGGCAAGTGCTGCTGCCGGGCGCCAGCGCCGCCAGCGAGTTTCTTGACGCCAGCGAGTCGTCTGACGCCTTTCCTTCGTGTCTTGTCTGAGCCGAGCACGAGAGCTCCGAGCGGTCTTAGCCCGATTTGTAGCCCTCAAGGACGGAGCCGACCGGATGTCTTGTATGGCTGCACGACGCAAGTCTCGTCGGCAGAGTCGACGAGACGTTGGTCGCCAAGAGGACATTCGCATCTTGCACCTCTGGCCGCTCTAGGCTTTCCACCTTTCACCCATCACCACCGCCATCATCAAGACCAAGCTCCATCTCGTTGAAGGGTGCCGTATCTACATACTGTCTTGAGGAGTTCTTTTTTGGAAGTTATGTGATGTCCTACTGAAGTTGCCTTTTGACTGTATCATGCGTAAATGCATCATGACGCTGTCTCGACTGTTCAAGATGTAGAGAGCGGGGGGTTCCACGGACCTCGCTCACCACTTGCCCCTCGGTGCCCGATAGTTCGCCGCGCAAAGACTTCATGCCTGGCCTGGCGCTCGATGCGTGTAACAGGTGATAACAGGTGATACTGGTATCGCGCGAGTTTTCGGATCCCTGGGTCCTGGCAGGGGGGGCTTTGTGAGCTCGAGAGCCGAAGCTCGAGGATAGCAGTGCAGATAGGGGTCCTCAACCCTAAACCCTTTGGGGTTTATAGGGTCTATAGAAATTGTTAAGGGTTTGGGTGCCGAAGTGTTAACCGAGTTTTGACCGACAGGCTTGACCAGGTTAATCTTGCGGAACCTCACCCATGGCTAGAGGGCACGCGGGTACTCTTTTTTTCTTTGCAGGAACTGCGTACAAGCGTCTGCATCCCCACCCCGCTTTGTCTGCCAGCATTTAGCTGGCATCTTCTTGTGTCTACACGCGAGGGGCTATCCGCAGAAGGAACTAGGCCCGTACCAGTCTCTGGAAGTTGTCCTTCGTGCTCCACCTGCCCGCGTGGCCGCTAAACTTGCGCAGACCGGTCGAACGTCTGCAGCCGATTGCTTGCCAGGATGAGCGACTTCCTGCCTGGTGTTAATGTACTCCTGCGGCAGTTTGAGGACAAGGACAAGGCGATTTGGCAAAAGATCTTGTAATCTGTCTTCGCTTACCACTCGCATGAAAGTAAGGGCTGTTGACCTTGTGGTTTTCGCTTCGTTTCAATCTGAGGTGAGGGATGGCGCTTTCCTTCTAGCCGAAGTGAATTCTCTGCTACAGGAAGCGCGGTCCCAAGAAGGGTCCGGCGTCAAGTTGAGTCACTTTAGAAGTGTAGTAGAGCTAAGGCCAAGATGGCTGGATTTGCAGCTGAGAAAACGGCTCCCTGCCTTGCAATGGACACGTGAAAGGTGCCGGATTGAAGTCACCAAGGTACGTGTAGCATTTGCCGTTCAACAGTGCTGCAGATCATTGCATCTCTCCAAGTGTGGCCCAGTGCTATGTTCCTATAGTTGAGGTTTTGGGTGGCTTCGGAGCAGGAGGCACTGCTGCACTGCTTGCACTGCCTTCGGCTAGACATGCCGGTCTCCTGTGCCTTGGCACCAGTCACAGGAGTGTAGGCCCAAGCATCCAGTTGCTATGTCAACGGTTTTGTGACGCCCAGGCCTCAACAGAGGGAATCTGAGTTGTGCGGCGTAGCCTGCGTGGCCATACGATGGTGGTGAAGATGTGATGGTGCTGGCGTTGGCGATGATGATAACGGTGAAGACGATGATGGCGATAATTAGGATCAAGATGATGAGCATGAGGCTGAGAACACTGACGATGAGGAATGGGTCATGACGATTGAGATGGTGGTGTGCTGGAAGTCAATGTGGTAGCCTCACTTTGTCGTTCATCCGATGCCCATGAGGAAAACGATGATACGATGGCCCACACCGTCATCATCATCTTCATCTTCATGTTCATCATCATCATCATCATGATCATCATCATCTTCATCATCGTCATCATCATCATCATCATCATCACTACAACCATCACAATCATCGCCATCTTCACCATCGTCACCATCATCATCAGCATCAGCATCAGCATCAGCATCATCATCATCATCATCATCATCATCATCAAACCTCGTCGTCGTTGTCGTGGTTGTCGTGTGGTTGCCATCATCAGCAGCATTACCACCACAATCGTCATTGGCCAGTGCCAGCACCAGCACCATCACCAGTACCACCAGCAGCACCACCACCAGCACCACCAGCAGCAGCACCGCCATCACCACCAGCACCGGCACCCTCACCCGCACCCGTACCAGCAACAGCACCAGCACCAGCACCAGCACAGCACCCACACCGCCGCCACCGCCACCGCCCCCGCCACCAGCATCATCATCGTCACCAGGGCCGCTGGTTGTCTTTGTCGTTCTCATCATCATCCTCCTCGGCCTCGTCCTTGCCATCAGTGTGCGAGCACAGTGGTGATGGTTCTTGCCATTTAATGTGTGAGATTTGCTGCCAGGAAACCCCAAGGAAACGGCACGGTAGCAACACTGCTGCTTAGTTTCTCGCAAGAAGCCTAAACGAGAACGCAAAATAAACCCGGACGAAGGTGCACCAGTGCGTATCCGTCCAGTGGGCTGCCATCGCAGGTGCGAAATCTGATTGGTGTTCGCACAGATACCGAAATCATACAAGTTGCGAGCTCGAAATGATTTAGGCCGCCACAGGAGAGGATCAGCTGATCGTGGTGTTGCACGGCTTGGAGGCCTTGTCCTTGACATGTTGCTCATTGTCAATGTTTGCATGGGGTGCCCCTTTGCAGGATGAGGTCGTACCTGTCGAAGTTGCTCGCGAGCAGTGGCGAATGTTGGGGAACAACGGCTACCGAGCTGTCACTCAGACTTGAAGTCAGATTGCACGAGTCAGTCTAGACGGGTGCAGCAAGTGCGGCCAAGAGCAGTTTGTGCAAGGGATAACATATTTCTTCCGCGAAGCGCGAACACTGCGCTCCTCTCCTGGCCGTTTCGGTCGCTTGCGCCTGTACTGAGGTCGTGTTTAATGCGATGAAAGGACTTGGCCATGAATTCTCCATGGGGCTGTGGCGAGAAATTGCTGAGATGGTAGCCGCCATACTAGACATCGGAGGCGAGGACTAAAGCCGGCAGCGAGCCGGGCCTCAGCGTTTCAATTTCAAGGCACCGCAGCAGGGTGCGAGTAGAACCATGCAAGTTAATATCGCCATCGCTTGTGCCAAAGAGTGCGCAGCGATAGCCAGCACCGAATGTTGGCTGGAGGCCGTGTGCCAACAACACTTGCGCATGTCTGGGATCGTGGCCGGAGCTATTCACGCACTGACTATTCGGCCAGACTTGGCAAGGTCTGTTCAGACTGCTGGACATCGACAACGAAGGCAGCAAGACAGATCATGATATGAGTCAAGCAGGCATTATATGTAAGACTTTTCTGGACACTCCTGCAGCACACAGACTCAATAACAGGCTCCATCGATGTGGAGGAGTTCATCGCAGGCTGTTGTCGCATTCATGGCCCCGCAAAGGCCAGGGCCACTCCCAGCAAAAGCTTACAGTGCGGGAGATGGACTGCAACTGCTGCTGGTAGGCCATCGATCTTACCACGCTCATGTGCCAGGCAGGGCCTGCAGTGTTTTTTTTGTTTATGGTTGGTGCGGCATCTAGGCCATTCGGTTCCCGTTCTGGAATACCAGCCAATCTTAAATTCCAAGCCTCCTTGGCCGCTTCGGTGAAGCGGCCGGATCCTCTCGGCAGTCGAGTTCCTGGGCGCTATGAGAGTCGTCCTTCTCATGGTGCTCTTTCAGCCCAGAGCTCTTGACACGGCTCCGACTTCTAAGCCAGGAAGCTCAGAAAGATGCGTGTCTGCAGGTGATGCTCCTTCACAGGCAATGGCGGAGTCACGCAATGCTGCTGGAGGAGAGACCGTTTTGTGCGTGCAGTCGCATTGCGTATTTGTGCGGGCCTTGGGGTTGCAACCACAGACGCTTGCAAGCACCGGCGATTAATCTTCGAGATGTACAGCACCTGACCTTGAATCGCAGACGTCGTAAAATTGAAGCGCACTCTGACATGTACTCTACAGGAAAAAGCTGCTTCCGAACGCATGCAGGATATGAGTCTGAATTTCTCTCCGCAGGAACTGTTTAGCCCACATGGCATGCGACCCGCCAAAACCCTGGAATCAGAGAACCCTCCCAAACTTTTTTGGCTGATAGGCCTAAGACTGCGACGCTGAACAATACGCGGGCGCTTCTCAGTTTGCTAGGCTGTGTAATTCAGAGTCTTTAGACGGAGCTCCACGTTTTCAGACTCCACCACTCTGGCTGTTGCATCTACGAATGCGACCGTGAAGCCATGACTCGGCCGCCGTTTCCGACAATTCTTCCAGTATTGGCTGAAACAGTTTCTTCTCATGCATTCCTGTTGATCATTAAAGCTCTCCGCTGTGGGCCGGAGCAGCCGATGTTGGCTGGATGTTCCGAGGCCTTGGGCGGATTAAATCCCGTGTGAGACTCATCGGCTGTTGAGGACTTCTTGCATTTCACCGGCTTCTTGGCCGGGGGGGAGACACCTGTCCTCTCCTGAACTGCCTGCAAGTCCTGTTGCCTTGTGCCAAACCATGGCAGCGAGAAACCGTTCCAGATCCCAAGCTGGGGACATGTTCCGCGCAGGTGCGCTGTCGATAACTTCTCATGCCTTGCAATGAGGCCACCATGTCGAGTGCCAGCCCGCTCGCAAAAATGCAAGGCCGTCGCTCATTGTGCGACACGAAAGTAGAAGCTGTTGGGTTCGGCCGTTGACATCGCACGATGTAGCTCTCGAAAGACCCCCTGTATTTTTCCACGTTGGTCCGGATGGATGAACTCTCCGAACTGGTTGATGGGCTGTCTGAACACAGCATGGGCCGTGTGCAGGCACCCCAAGAAGTGCGAGGTGCTGCTGGCAATGTTGCAGTTGCACTTGCTCTTAGGATTATGCGAGGTCTCTTGTCTGAAACTTTCCTCACTTTGGACCCCGGCATGCCCAAACAGATAGTTCACCCGCCAGGAGATTCAGCTTCTGCATGCCGGCAGAAGAAAAGGTGCCGGTCCTGGCGGAGTCGTCGAATCGTAGCAGGGGTGGCATGTTGGACCTCAGAGAAGTTTGGACCGGGCCTGCTGTAATTTGCTTCACCTTGCCATGTCAGGGGGTGTCACAGTGAACCACATTGAGCCACATCCAGTCAGCAACGCCTCTTTACTGCGACGAGCCCCAGGCACTGAGCAATGACAACTTGACGCTCGAGCTGCCAGAACCTCGGTGTGTTGTCGAGTGGCGCTCGATGTGGCGCTTGGGTGAACGAGCGTCCGGTCGTAAGCCTCGCTGCTTCGTCAAGCGCTGCACGTCGCAGGCCAGAGCTCAACGAGATGCAGGTGCCGTGCCGTGCAGTTCCGGAGTGAGATTACAACTGAATGTCGGGGGGGCCATCCCAGTGCTGAGAGGCTTCGGGTGACTTGGTGGATTCCAGCAGGAAGCCGAGCATAATGCCTGTGACGGCGGCTGACATGTATTGACTGCACTGAGGTCCTCGCACTCATCACGGCAATCGGAGGAGTGCTACTGCCTCAGCCACGCAGCAACGCCAACGGAATGCGAGGGTTGTTGCAAGTAATGAACTGGCGATCTTCAACCAGGGTGTTTCGCAGTATCCCTGCGATGCTGCACCACTTGCCGAGGCCAATTCTTCTGACAAGAACCTCAATGGCAACTTGCCCACGGGCCAGCCATTGTCATTATGAGCCGAACGCTGAACTCAAACCTACTGGAATTTGGAAGCCTTGCGCGTGATATAACATAGCTGTATGGCCGAATAGCTGTAAGTCATCATCCTCGGTTGTGCGACCGTATCTTCAGACAGCCGACTGCGAAAAACCGTTTTCTTCCTACGGAGAGTGTTCCCAGGAACGAGCAACACGTTGACTAAGAGTTCCAACGGTTGAATGGAACACTGGTCAAAGACAGCGTTTGGCGTTAGCAGCTAATGAATCCCAGCACCTCGCTCCAAAGGAGCTTGGATGACAATTGAAGCCCATTGCTGTCTCGAATGAGACGTCTCGGCTCAGCTTGCTGGATTGACCAACGCCGAGGGGTGCATTTGCTACTTAGGCGGCCACAGCGCACTCGTGCTTAATGATCAATCGCCCCTGCAGCTGGCCTGTCGCAGTTGCCGGCAACGCAGGTGTTTTCGCACTGCTGGCAACTCTGGCCAAGAACCGCTCTTGTTCAGGAGAGGTGATGCTTGTTCTTGGGGGTTGCGATTAATGTTGATTCTGCCGGATCTCTGTGCTCATCTCAAAGCTTCCACAAGGAATATCGCGCAGCACGCAGATTCTCTACTGCCTTGTGTTCGTGACAAGGCGGGCTCTAGATACCAGTGGGGAAGCGGGCTTGCAAGTCAGAGTTAGCTTCGGATTCCAATCTGCTTCCGCGACGGAACTGTGCTGCTGGTAGAACTGCAACGAGCCAGAATCGTGTCTGGATGTTCATCATGTTTCAATCTCTTCGTCCTGGCCAGATACCTGGATCTGCTAGCCCTGAGCTCAGAGATATCGTCAAGCAGAGCACCCATCCCGAGGCAAATTCTTTCACCAGCACTTGTTATAAGCACCGTCGTCCAGTACCAGGAATACGGAATACTAGACAAACAAAGGCGGTGCTAGCAACTCGCAGCTCTCGCTGCCAGCGCTATTCGTCTCACTCTTACTATGGCTGCTGCTGTTTACTACCATACGAAATCATCCATTATTGTTGGTATCGCATACATTATTATTGTCGTTGATGACGATGGTGGCAAGCTCTACATTCCTGCTGCTCAGGACAAGACGCAAGCCTTCTATCTCGTGTTCTTCAAAATCACGTGCCCTGTTCCAAGCGACAAGCGTGTTCTCTGCAACCCAGCTCGCTGTTTCAAGGTACATCGTCACATCGATCATCGTGCTGGCGGTTTTCTACAAGCTTGATGCGACGTACGAGCGCCAAAAGGTCAGCAAAGAACTAACTGGTTGGCTTTTTTGTCCATTGTTGACAGTAGTGCTATCAAGGACACGGGAGTGCATGTCAGGCAGTTGGCACATTTCAGGAACTACTGGCGTAGATGTCAGGAAGCAGCATGGTGCGCTTATCCCCCATGTTGCCAGTACACCCCTCCGAAATCCACCAAACATATTCGCGATTGGGGGCAGTTCACGCGGGATTGTATTGGTTGTGGCCCGAGAAGTGACTGTCGTCACTCGAAGTCATAAACTCTTCAATGGAAGCCTGGTTGACACGGACAATGGAGGGTCTCTCAATCACCGCTGCCCCAATTTGCATTTCCTGAACTGACGTGTTCTTGTGGGCTCGATTGCAGGATACCTGCAGTTTAGCAGCCATCCTGGTGCCTTGCAGCATCAGTGCCATTCTTCTAGCCGAGACGTGCCCCTGTCTGGCGCCGCTGCAGTGTTGTATGCGAGGAAGTAGGAAGCACCTTGTCGTGCGTATGCGCACACTACGTCACTGCCTCAAGCAAAAGTGACACCGCTGCGGACATGGGCCCACCTGCATACATGGCCAGTAGTGAGTCTGTCTGACCGCGTCTTTTGTGTAGGCTTACGTTGCTGATTGCTTTATCTGCCTGATTGTCCTTTCGGTACGTGTGTATGTTCGCATCCATGTGCCTCTCCATCTTGGTGGCCAGGCACACCGGCACACAACAGTTTATGTGTAGAACCTGTAATAGTTATGTATCCATGTATGCATGCATGTATGTATTTGTGTGTATGTATGTATGTATGTATGTATGTATGTATGTATGTATGTCTGTATGATTATGTATGTATGTATGTATGTATGTATGTATGTATGCACGCATGTGAATGCATATTGGAAAGCCGTGTAATCAGGCGTGGCTGCAACGGTCCACCTGCAGTAGCGAGCTCTTGTCGGGCATCGTTGCGACACGAATATATCAGGTACCAACCATTTGACATCCTATGGACATTCTCGCAATTTTGCGAGGGTTTCGCAATGGCGTCCAGCTGAGCATGAGACATGAGGAAGCCACTGCGAGGATAGGATAGGATGGCTGTTGTTGCTTGCAGGTTCCCCAGTACGTCTTCTGCTACAGGGATAGGTTGGCGAAGGACGGGGTGTCAGATCTACTCACTGGCACGCATTGTTCATTCCCATCTTCCTGTGTCCAGCTATCGGCTTTCGAAGGACGTAGGCGTGACCCTCTATGTGCTGTCGATGGGTGGAGTTCTCAACGGGAGATGAGACTAAGCCTGCTTGCTTGGTGAGTCTCGTAAACCGTAAAGACAGAATGCACCTTCACAGCTGCACATCGCCGCTTGTGTCACAATCCGATTTGTGTGTCCACGAGCATGAGACAGCCCACGCCAGTGATTGGGAAAAGGTGCCTATCGATGCTTCTATGCCGCGAACTGGATTTACAAGAAGGCACGTTGCCGGGCCAGCCCAGTGACGACGCCCGCAGTCTCGGGTCTGGCTTTAGGAACAAAGTCTTTTGTGCAGGGAACGGACTTGCTGACTTGCTGCGCCCTTCCTTCGGCTTCATCGGCTCCAGCTTCTGGCCGTCAAGCCACATAGGTAGCTGGCGGGAGGCTACATAAAGAAAACCGCCTCGCATGGACAGCCCTGCAAAGGCGAGCCAATGCGAAATCGGGACCTCGCAACCTGTGGTCCTTTCTTCATTGTACCCTGCAGCACCCTGAAATGAGATCGTAGTATCCCGTCGGCGTCGGCTGATGCCCACGGCAATACCAAGAAGAACAGCACGAACCAGCTGATAGGAGTAGCCTCTTCTTCGTGCCTCGCCCTGGCCCTTCGAAACGACATGAGGCGCCGAAGAGCTTCGGGGCCTGGGGCAGATCAGAGCTCTTCGCTGTCCTCGGTCTGGCAACAATATAAATATTCAATAGAAATAAATTACATGGAAAGCAAATACGACGGGTACATATGTATTCATATGTTTGTAGTATGCAAGCTGCACCCTGCTAAACGCGTCATCTCGCAAGGCCCAGGGCCTCCGCCGGAGTCCGGCCGGCGAAGCGCTCCTCGGCGCCCAGCGCTGCGATCCACGTCCCTCGGCGGCAAAGCAAGGAGGGAGCCGTGACCGGCCGTCCCGGGTTGCACGAACCTCGGACCGTCCTCTTCACCGGACTTCTTTCCACTCGGCTTTGATTGCCTTTGCACAGATGTTCGAAGCAGCTTGCACCCTTGCAGTGCAGGCGCAGCTGGCCACCGCCAACGGTGCTCTGTCAGACTATGTTAAGGCCACTTGAGACACTGCAGCAGCTGAAGCAGCTACTTGCGGTGAAGCTTGGCCGTCTGCCAGGTCCGCACCGTGGGTCGCGGGAGCTTCGGCGAGGCCCTCCTGGCCACTGGACAGCGACGGTGCGTTGACACTGCGAAGCGGAGCTGCTCCAAACATCTGAGGTGAGACACCGAAGCTCCGGCCAAATGTCTGTACTGAAGCGCGTACGTCTGGAGGCAAGGAGAGAAACTGCAGAGGGCCCGTAGAACTCCATCTTGAGACGGTCAGGGCAGCAGCGACGCTGCCGCCGCAGCCGAGAGCGCGGCCCGCGAAGCGCAAGTTCTGCAGAAGCTGCGACATCCGCACATCGCAGGGGCCCCAGCATAAGATCACATAACGACAGCGAGCATCGAAGAGCTTTGGTGACGCTGATCGGCACCCCCCTTGCTGGAAGTTACAGCGCGCTTGCTTCGGCTGAGGTGGAATTCTTAGGCGCCTTCGTTGACAACTCGCGGGATTCTACGGGCGGCACGCTGTGTCTGCTGATGGCTTTCTGTGAAGGCCATAGTTGCTTCGCAAGTGCCTCACTATCCTCCTCTGTGGGTATGTGGGCCTGCTCGGTTGCCAATGCCGTGTGTGGACAGGAGGCGACCTACAGCACAGACTGCAAAAGGTACGCCAGGCTGACAGCGACTTCCAGTAGTAGATAGTTGATGATTGTTGCGAAGCCACCAAACGGTCTTTCCCTAGATGATTGAGTGGTTGAGGCCGCTCATGCCATTATGGATTGTGGCCTCTGTTGGGAGCTGCTAGGAGTGTCGGCGGCTCTCGGAGCAGCCGGCGCTGCGTTGGTTCGACGAGCTTTGTAGCGCTTTGGCCTACGTGCATCAGCATCAGGCAGGGCCCTGTCTCTGACAAGTCACTGTTGAGGGCTGCGGGGCCGTAAATTGAAAGCATTGCGACATAAGTAAAACCTCCTCCCTCTAGCGCTGCTACTGCCACAGCTACTGTGTACTACGACGACTACAGTGCCACTACACCGCCGACGACAATGACGACGACGAGGACGACGACCACCGCCACCACCACAACAACAACAACAACGACAACAACAACTGCAACTGCAAGTGCGACCTTAACCGCAACTGCAGCTGCAACTATAACAACTCCTCCTCCTCCTCCTCACCCTCCTCCCGCCCTCCTCCTCCTCCTCCTCCTCCTCCTCCTCCCCCCATACTACTTATACTTCTACTGATTCTACTGTTTAGCTACTGTTGTTCCTTGTTCTTACAACTCGCTGTTGTATGATTACACAGCACCTGAAGAGAAGGACAACGGCAGTAGGCGTGGTCATAGCAGTGTTAGCAATAGCAGCAGCGAGCAGTAGTTGCATGAATCTGCCATTTCACCAAGACCGTCTGAGCTCGTCTCTAACATGATTTGTGCTTGCAGCGCTCAACCCCCCGCCTGCTCCGACTCCGAGGTGTTGCACCGTGACTTGAAGCCCTCCAATATCTTCCTTTCCGGTAGAAGTGCTGGCAGCGCCCACTTCATCCATGAGGAGGACTGGCCACTGCGGGCCTGAAGATGCCGACCTTGGCCCGAGCCATAACAGGAGTCCGTGTCCATCGGAGACTTTGGCGTCAGCCGACCTCTGACCCACTCGATGGAACTCGTAACCACAATGGTGGGAACACCTTGCTATCTCAGCCCAGAGGTCTGCGAGCTCAGTTACGTTGTCTGGGTGCAGCGTGCAGTGTAAGAGTGAGGAAAGTACTCGGATGCATTGGGCCATGGGATGCGATGGGGCTCCCCGCAGCCAAGAGGCTTTAGCTTCGTGACGTGTGTCGGGATGGTGTCGAAACAGCACACTTGAAAGCCACTACGGCCACAGCACGTAACATCATCCAGAAGTCCCGGAGATAGAGTGCCGATGGCTGGACGAGAGCAGCAGCGCGGTCGCAAGAGGGGCGCTTTGTGCCTCGTCGCAGCTTCTCTCGGCTGGCACTCGGCTTTTAGCCACTCGCCTCCGAATTCCTTTAGGCTTGAGTCAGAAGACCACTACCAAAATAAGACGTAAGCTTCGACCAGGCGTGCTGTCCACGGGTGAGCAGCGTTTCCTGCTCGTCCGGCACGGACAAACGACCTTCAATGCAGAGAAGCGATTTCAAGGCTGCTCCAGAGGCGAATGTTAGCCGGCTCCAATTATGTGCCGGCCTTTGCTGCGAGGCTCCATGGATGAGGGCTCCGTTCTAACTGCCAAGGGCATCTCCCAAGCAGAGGAGCTGGGCCAGTGGCTGAAGGCGAGCCTTGTAGGGTTCGAAGATCGGTTGCACGGGCTTCGTCTCTGCAGCTGAGGGAAATCCGGTTGCAGCCGTCTTCGTTTCGCCGCTGCTGCGAGCGCGGCAGACTCTGGAAGTGGCCAGGACGGTCGCAGGAGCGGCACTATGTCACTATGCAGCAGCTGCACCACCATGGTCCTCTCAGCCTGGCAGGTGAAGTGCTGCCACCCACAGAGACTAAGCTGTCCGAGCTGCGAGAGATTGACCTCTACGAGCCAGAAGCTTAGTCATTGCAGGGCCTTTTGTTGACCTGGATCCTGCTGCGAGTTTGGCACTGAGAGGTGGCAGGGCCGAACGCAGGACGAGATCCGGGCGGAGGATCCGGAACTCATGAGATTGTGGAAGGACTGCGACGACAGCAGTGCGGGCAACATCGGGCAACACTGGTAGTAAGCGTTTTGCGCAGGGAGGGCACGTGATCGATGGCAGGAGGAAACTTGGAACCTCCAGGTCAGTGGGCGTGATTCGCTTGAGATTCAGATCTAGGCCCTTGTGACCTGTCGACCTATTCCATCCCTGACCACCCTTGTCAAGGTTATGTGGTGCGAGACCTGTGGCGCCGTTCCATCGAGGCCTGGCATCGGATGCGGCAGGCCTGCATTGCTTTTCATTTTCAGCACATGCCTCTTCTGTCATCATCATGTCGCAGAAAGCTCGCGCATCATAGCATCCAGGTGGCCCCCAGCGGAGAAGAAAGGTCGTTGGTCGTCGCCCATGGAGCAATTATCAAGGTGAGAGGCATCGCATGAAAACAAGCCTTCTGTCGCATGCGGCCAACAGAGGCCCTGATCAGCACTGCCCTCGGCTTGCCGGAGCAGGATGGGAGCCTGAGTCCTCTGAGATTTCCGCAGGGGGCTCTAGCTTTGACCTTTGAACTCCTGCTCCCTGAAGGGCTTCCGACATCTCGCCATGTCCAACGGTGAGGTGGTTGAGGCCTACTGGGAAGCGGCTGTGCGCCAGAGTGACGGGTTGCTCCGCATGCTTGCAAGGTGGCTTGGTCAGGCCAGGCAACACATGGCGGTGGCATTGCAGCCGGAATAGCTCACAGTCGACTCACCGAACCTGTCTTATGTGAATGCTTGCTACTCTTGCTGCAGTCCGAAGCTCAGAGGCTCCGAAGCCAAGTGGCGCAAGCTTCATCCCGACAAAGGCCAGCCTGCTTCCGGCTCTGCTGGTGCGCAAATTCTATAAGCAAGCATCATCGAATGGCCCTTTCGCTGTGAGCTTGCCGCATCCGTTGTCATGGTGAAATTGCTGATGCGTCCTGTGTGCAAAATTTCGGATCATCGCGTAGAATCTTCGGGTAAACCTACATATAATTTAATTACTATACAAAGCTTGTGCGCCACCTTGCAACAGGCTTTGAAGTACGTGGCCTCCATCTTCTGTTTGCTTTAGTCGCACGGATCCAGCTGCTGACATATTTGCCTACCATGTGGCCTTTTTGCTCCGCCGCCTCATCGTCGGCACGCGTCGCCGGCCTGCACTTTCAAGAAGCAATTTAGAGCTCAAGTAGCCATGTGTGGCCGACAGCTTCGGACTGCTGGAGCTCGGCGGTTGCGACCGCCGAAGGCAACGAGCGAAGCTCAGCACAGGAAAGCTGTGTCCCATGGAGCGGAATCCCAGGAGCGGCCTCGTGCCAGTGGCGAAACAGACAATGACGAGGCTTTGGCGAGATCATTGCAGGACAGAGCGCCGCGCATTGGATATGTCCTCCATGAAATTGAGCACGCCTGTAGGGTCCAGGCCGACGTCTTTGAGCTCCAGTGCACGGGCTTTCCGCTTACACGTGCAGGAACAGCAGGATGCAGAAGTGGCCCAGATGTGCCTCGGCAGAAAGGGGGCGAATAGATCCGCTTGCGGCAGGAGACCTCCCGAATTTTTGCTGCATCCGTCGAACACAGCATTTACAGTTTCAGTGCAGTGCAGTCGCCCAGGCTGGCGCGGCAAGGCAGCTTCGGGTTACCAGCACAGCAGCGGGCTCCGGCCTCAAGCCTTCAGACTTGCGTTGCTCGGCTTGCCGCAGAAGATCAAGAGCTCCCAAGTCGAGGTTGTCACCATGCAGTGCGGAGTTTGCCAAAGCTCTGTGCAGGCGGAGGGAAGAAAGAGCCCAAACGCGCTTTCTTGAGCTCGTCCATATCTCGTTCAGAGAGAACTTGACAGGTTCAAGTGCCGCTCTCTGCTGCGCCAGATTCCGTGTCCTGGTGGCAAGTTGCCTTGGCGGAAGTGACGATCTCCTTTTAGCTACAGAGACCAGATCCCCGCAGGTTGTCCCATGCGCACTGTGTTGCTGCGAATCCTGCGCTGTGCGGTTCAATTGCTGCGGAATTCAAAGTTGAGTCGAGAAATTCAGACTTCATCGTCTCGTGGGCTCCAGGATGGAAAACATGTGAAACCTGAATTGTGGATCCCGGTGTGTCAGCTTGAAGATCCGTCAGAACATAATAGGGCATGATCCACCTCTGGAATCTGGAAAGACTGCTTGTCGGAGAATCGGGAGCTGTTCTCACAGCTTCCCTACAAATGCAGGATAGAGTCTGCAAAGTGCAGGCACCGTGATAATATGCCCTTATCATGCCAGCGCACTGTACCCAAAACCCTTTTGAAAGCTCATAATTTAGGCTTCACGGCTGTAGAAACGAACTTGAGCCCGGAAAGCTGGTCGGAACCTCTGTTCCACAATGTCTCAGAGGTGCAAAGCTTCTGATGTCGAAACCCTCTGAAAGAAGGTCGCCCCTCCAACGACAAACACCGTTCATGCTCCAAGCTGACGGAAGACAGATATGTTCAGGGTTCTGCAGACATGCAAGAGTTGTGAGCTGATCCGTGGCCCTGAGCCATGCAAGATGAGGTGATTCGTGTGCCTTGCCCACGCTGCACAGCCGAGAACGAGTTCAGGATTCTTGTCTTGAAGCTGAGTTGTTGTGAACAGTTCCCACCATTCTTCCTTTCAGGATTCCTGGCGCCTCGATGCGAGCAGGGCCACCACCAGGCAGGGTATTGGCTGCAACGGTATTGGCGGGAAAGGATTTCTGGTTCTGCCAACTCGCAGGCATGGTCGGTCCTTCGATGTTTGACCCCTCAATGATGGGAGATGCATTGGACGATGAACTTATACACGTCGGGTGCCTTGTTTGCAGCCAGGTGATGATGTTTTTTCGATCTTGGACAGAGGGCTATGCACATCTTCAGCAAGCTTGATTCGTGGTGATCAGCACAGGTGTGAGATGGGCAACACCATGGTGGAGATGATGATCGACACAGGTGCTCAAACCTCTGCCTGGCTCTGAGCGACATTTCCCAGTTTAGGTTTTAGGCAGGACTCACAAACATCGATCATTGCCTTGGACATCACGTTCTGAGAAAGGTGATCTCAGAGCCCCTCGTGCGCAGATTACAACTACAGGGGCACATGGACAGCAGGTTCCAAGGCGGGAATTGTGTTTGATGCTCGAAGCCATATTGCTAGTATGGTCGACAAGACATAGCGCCAACCCGCGGATTCAGCCTCAAGTGTGAAGACTTTTGCAGGAATGGCGGCCGGCGTCGGAACGGCGCGAATTCTCGGCAAGCTTCGCGGAGTTCCGGCTACCAATCTGCAATTTGGGCATCGTTAAGCAGTGAAGCTCTTCGCTTGTCGTCATGCTCGTGCAACATTCCAGAGTCCAGCTTCATCAGAATTCGTGGCCTCATCTGCTGACAGAGGTCACGGCAATGACGTAGCTACTGGCAGCGTGCGAGTACAGCTAAGGTCAAGATGGGCCATGTGGAGTTCGCTCTCGCTCTTCGAATTCAAGTTATGTTGGTCGCAGATGTTCGGCTTTCGAAGTCGGTCCAAGAAGGAAGCCTGCTTGCCCGGGAAGCCGAAAACCCGCTCCCAGGACTTCTCCGTCCTGGGAGTGGAACAGCCTCTCCTAATGCTGGGAATCGATCAAATGACCATGCCTCAGTTCCCGTTTGCAGATGAAAGATGTGTTCCTGCGGCACGAACACGACGCCAGGCGGCGCTTCAAGTGTGTGGTGAACCTGGAAAGGCTCGGCATGGGCAGTGCATGAGCTAGCACTGGCTCAGATTGATGCTCGCTAGAAGCATGTGGCAGTGCTCCCGCAAGGCAGTGCTTGACCTTCGGGGGAAGCGACGGTGTCGAAGTGCCGTTCCTGCCTGCGGACTCGAGGCGGCGTGTGTCTTACAGAATCTTTGCTGCTATAATGGCGCGGGGTGGCGAAGCTTGAATGACCCGTGGCACCCTGCTGTACCTGAATCTTAGGACAAGCTGGCTGCCCAACGATGTGAGACGCCCCCCCCAAGACAGGCTGTCAAGCTCCTGCGTTGGACTTGATGCCCTTATGCGTATGCGCACATGCAGCAGCAGTGTGGATGCATATTGTAAAGACTCGTCGATGCTTCCTTCAAGAGGAGCATCATCCGTCTTTTGAAGTAGGCAGATGCCGGCGGCAGATAGTAGTAGAGTGGCAAACTACAGAGTTGTAAAGCCAGTATCCGGGTTCACCGACAATCCTGTGCTTCCAATCTGCAGCGCCCTGGCATGATGCCCACTTGCTGTTTGGGACGGTAACTAGCTCATCCATTTTCGATAGGCCTTGAAGCTCCAGAAGCCGCTGTGTACAGTTCGGTACAGGGAGGAGCAGGCCTTCTCCAGTAAAGCCAACGTCCGCTTCAAGAGCAACCTGCCACAGACTTCGCGGAACAGGGCTCCCACGAAGAGATGCGATGTGGAGCGATGCCACGATGCCACTGCCCGACTGTGCCCGATGTATGCTGCAAGTTGCTGTGTTGTGTGCCACATGCCAGGGCCTTGGAGATGCTTGGCAGACGAGGAGCAGGCCATGAAGGCCGAAAATGCTTCGCAAGCCGGCGGAAAGTGGTTTTCAGTGGAGCGACATGGTTCTGATGTAAACTCGTAGCTTTCGGATCAGCGGCAATCTTGCTTCACACCCAGAGAGGCCAACGGTGGCAAAGATCTCAGCAACATGGATGCCGCATAGATGAGCCCCGGTACTGTCGAGCTTGGCGACGGAGACTGCACCTCGTCAGCACAGAGGCAGGCAAGTGGCCGCAGGCTTTGGATCGAGAATCGCCGACGATTCTCGCCATGCTCAGAAAGCGCTTACCTGCAGAGCTTTGTCGAGCATCTTGAAAAGCTACCCGGCACAGATCCGTCGAAGAAGCCGCTGCACGGCCAAGAGCAGAACCGGCGATTTGCGGTAGTTGCACGCGTACAAACTCCCGAGCCGGAGCAGTGACGGCCACAGGCCGAGACCGGCGGGTGTTTTATCGTACTGTACTGTATAGGTACTACAGTACAGGTGGCAAAGCGCCACGAGGGAACCTTGTTCTGAAGAGCCCCGAGTGCGACCAGGAGAAAAAAGGGAGGACACGACCGGTTTGAATCTTTTGAACTTTGGCAAGCTGCTGGCGCTAGACAATCCCTTGTGAACCCCGTTGTTTCTTCAAAGGTCTGCAAAGGCAGGCCATACTCGTACAAGTCAGACATCTGGTGCCTGGCTCAGAAACGGACGGAGCCGAAGAAAGCTGCCCAAGCCCATCTCTGCAAGGTCCTTGGGATGTGTGCTCTTCGAGATGATGGCGCTTCGCCCACCCTTCGGAACAGCTCCGAATTTGGAGGCCTTTGCGGTTTGATGTGCTTCTGACCGCGCCAACGGAAGCCTTCGACTGTAACATACTGTCCCTGGCCAGGCCTTGGTGAATCGAATCGTCCGTGCAGATGTGACCCTTCCGGAGCACCTGAGCAACGATTTTCCAGAAGCATCGCGCTGCACGCGAGCCATGCTGCGCCAGCAGCCCGACAGAAGACCAACGGCACACTCCTTGTTGAATCGTCCGCGGCTTCAGCCGCCGACATACGAATTGCCAGGGATGACAATCGTAGAGTCCGCGTCGACGCCATCAACATCGCCACCGACTTCAGCTCAGTCTCCGGCACAAAAGGCATTCGACCCGCCAGGGCGCACCGACATTAACTCGCAGGCAGCCAAGCAAAAGCTTGTGGCGGCACAAGTGGCAGCTGCTGCAGCCAACGCTGCGGTAAAGGCGGCAGCCCTGTCGCCCCGAACAAGGGGGCGGGCGAAGCTTGCGAACCAAATCCTGGAGTCGGAGTCGGACCAGACTGCCATCAAAGTCCTGGAAGAGTGCGCGGATGACAGAGACAGGTACCCTCGCCCGCCGGGACAGAAGGGCATCATCACTGACGTTCCATCACGTGTTCGTCGCCAGGGCAGCTCTGGAAGCTCCAGCCCGACATATCCCGCTTCGCCAAGCGTGGCTGTGAGCGTGCTCGGCCCGGGCCAGGGCCGCCAAAACCACGGCCAGGGCCGATCTGCCAACCCGGACGGCTGCAACGTCCGTTCATGCTCTGGAGAAGTCCAACGACCACGCCTGACTGGCCAGTCCGTCGGGCAGGCACAGCCCCTGTCTGCAAGACAGAAGGCCGGAATCTGCGCTTTCTGCCCTCCTGTTCTCCTCATGCGCCTTCTCTGACTCTGGGAAGGCATACCACCCCTTCTCACGGCCCCAGCCTCTTCAAAGGCCGGGCCGGCGCAAGACTGGGAGCAACTCGAGGTTGTACTTGTATGGTTTCAGCTTGAAATTTTGCTTGGGGTAGAGAATAGAAAGGATAGCAGAAGCGGAAGCAAGAGAGAGAGGGCTTTTGACGGCACCTGAATTGAGACGGCGGATGTTGCAATGCACGTGCAATAGTGTAAGACTTTTATTCTGCAGTGTTTCGCCTGATCGCCCCAAACTCGCACGGATGCCAAGCAGCTACTGCGCATGGAACGGTGCTTCGCGATGCCAGGCCGTCATAGAGGGCTAGAATAAGATGGCTCATGTGGCCGCGCATGTTGATCTTGAGCGGATGTGGCTCATGACAATTGCGTTGCGGGTGGCATTGTTAACGAGCTGAGCCGCTTTGCCTATTAGCCCGCCGATGGGATGAGATGACCACTGGACACGTGTTTCTGCTGCAATCGAACACAGTGCCGACCAGGAAGATCAGACGATGGCTGTGACCATAATCACACTGCTTGTGCGGAATCAAGTTGCACTTGCTTGGAACATCTCGGAGCACTGCTCCGTTTGCATGAGAAGAAATTCTTGCCACGGTGCATGGTGTTCGACGTCTGCATTGAACACCCGCCACGAAGTTGTCAGACGATTTCAAGCATGGTCAAGCATGTCGGGGCCGAAGATAGAGTGCGAAGGATGCCACCTTGAAAGTCGCAGCAGTTGCAAGACAAGGTCGCGCATATCGTATTGCCTGAGATGAGTGCACAATGTGTTGACCAAGTCGGGTAAACCCGTCGGTGGGTCAGGCACACCAACCACGTATGACGGCTGAGGCGATCTCATGTCTCTTGCCGCTTGCAAGATGCTTGACACGTGCAACATGGAAGCTCGCGATACGGAAATGTCAAACATGTTTGACTTGGAACCG